GAAAGCAAAGAAATCTTCCACATAATCATGGCACGTGGAAACGTCCGATGCCAATTTTGTCTGATGCTTTCTCCTACCATAAATAATTTGTTTCCATTGGGCGTTGAAAATTAAAAATGCTAATTGTACATTATATTGTGTACATTATTCATATTTAACCCTAAATTGGTAATTTTTTGGGATAGTTCCACCAAATGGATTGTGATGATTTTGGTATCATTGAATTTCACACACTCTTAAGTTTCCAAATATACAGAAATGATTGCACAGAAACCCCTCAAACCCCAACTTGGCCCTGATAGCAGAGGAGGGGATGAAGGGTACAAGGGAAATTGCAGAGAACAATATGAATAACAGACACAGATTCAGTCACTATATTGTCTCAACTGTCATGCAGGAGCATTGTTGCCAAGTCTGTCTAACACTCTCCTGCCATGAATATGTGGAGGAATTCTTTCTTTTCCTGGGCAGGGCGGTGGGGGCCAGCAATCCCTTGCAATAGAAAATACAGCGATTTATTCTGTGTATATTATTCCATATAATTTATATTTTACCTTAAAAATTTCCCTGGTGCCTTTCATGCCTCCCCTGTTAATGTGGCCAAGTTTGTCACTAATGGGGGTGGGGGGAGGGGTTCTAACAATAATTTCTATATTGGCCATATAGAAATTATTGCCATATACTAACCTAACCTGATGATTGAGGTGGCGTTATCGTTAGTATTACTGGAAAAAGGCATCATCAAAGAATCAATGAAAAATAACCTTACAGTCTTGAAGATATTGAATTAATGATCACTTTTCATAAATATGCTTGTCTCGCAAATAAATAAAAACAAAGTTATTCAATTATGAAAATTAATAAAAATAATATTAAAAGAAGGCGAGATTCACATGATCGCTGAGGGAATACTGACCAAATTCTCCAACGCATACGTGGGGTCTTATGTACAGGTTCTGTTCCTGTTATCTCACCTGTGATGTCACGGCCAGTGTCAAGATTTCATTGGCCAATTGTTTGGCGGTTAATTTAATGGCCAATGGGGAAACAAGGCACAAGGAAACAGCCAATGAATGAACATTAACTAAAATAGAAGCTATGAAATTAAATTTTCAAATTAGTCTTGCCATGGCTTCTGTGTGTGTAGGGCGTTGTATCGCTCCATTGATATCGAAAACCCTCACCCCAGTTCCTCCTCTGTATAGTATGTTGAAAGTTTTATTTTCACTGAAATGATTGGATGTATGTTACTTCGTGTGCATATGAACGGTATGTGAAAGCGCCTGATGCCGACTCTGTCCAATGCTCTCTCTTGCTGTGAATACATTGAGGATTCTTTGTATTCTTGCTGCCCCCTACCCCCACCCAAGAGGGGTCGCAGAGGCACAGCCCCTGCAATGAGCAATTCTCATACCGACGACCAACACGCCGAGTCTGTTCTTTCCTGCCGTGAATACACCGAACTGTCAATTTTCCTTCGCTTCTTTCTGTCAGTCAGTCGGTCTATTATTGATCGCTTTGTTTTTATCACTCTTTTCAGGATTTAGTCATCAAGGTCTTTTCCTTCTTCGTTGCCACTCTATAGTCTCAAGAATAACCTAGAATTGACACAACAGCGGAAACAAAACATTTCTCTCTGGCCTTCAGTCGCCGAATACCCGGGAATCGTCCTGTCAAACCAGGAACATGAAAATGCACATGCGCAGAAGGTTTTTCAGACCGATTCCCAAATAAAACTTGAAACACAAAAATAAAGTATAACAACATTAACAAAGGCCTTTGAAAGTATAAATGTGGAACAGCTGACACTAATAATGTGCCAAATATCGTTTTGACAAGCACATATTAATACATGACCTACTTGAGAGAGCGCAGGAAGGAGTTAAGTGGTCATAATTTTGTTTACATTGGCAATGTCAACATGGCGAGGGACTTAAAAAGAGTGGGTCACTCTTCCCTCTCTTCTCTATCATGTATCTTCTTTATTTTATATTGCGCACCTTACGCCATAGATGAAAAGTGTCTTATTTTACGGCAAGGTAATCATTCCATACACCTTTTTTTACTGTAACCCTGACTTTTATCCGTAGTAAATTTACCAAAATGACTTGGTATGTCATTGTAGTCCATTCCATCCTATGGCTTACATCATTACAGATACCATTTTCTAATTTTTCTTGGTGATCATATGCTTCCCCTGTTTAGCAAAGACGTCCTTTTAGTGCTCTGGTTATACCATATTTTTCGGGTAAATGAATTGATCTCCAAAAGGGTGATGAAATTCCACGCGTGTATCAGCAGATTCACTCCCTCTCTTCACTCTTACGTAATTTATCAATGAATTACATGTCCATCGATCCTATGAATCAAGCTTTACACACCAAGAAATCTCACAAAGTCTAAAGTTAGAGGATTTGTTTACCTTTGTACTAGAAAACTCTTAAAAAGTACAACCATCGCACTAGATTATTTACGTTTTACTAAATAACAATCGAGACAGGGAAACTCCTTCACAAAATCGATGACGAATGAGCTGCCAAAAACCGCCATATTTTTTCAGCGCCATCTATGGAATGAAAGTAATCCTAGCGCACGTGGATACAGAATTTTTCCTTTGGATCTAACCCAACTCTTACTGCGTCTTGAAGTAAAAATGCAACTCACTCTGACCTAATAAAACTAACGTAACAGATTGCAATCAAATTTTCGTTCTATTGTGCTTCCCTAAAATTAACTGTCATTGAGTCACGTGCATCTTTAGGTTCTCAGTAGAAAGGACATCACCACACTTTGCTGTAAATTTGCCATTTTTTACGGTTGAATTTCAGATTATTTCAGCGTGGTTGCGCCTGATATTTTTTGCTTTTAAGACAACAATCCGTGTATAATGGCTGTTTGAAAACTGCTGGTAGTATCCTAAGGCAGTCTATAAGTGTTTTGTGCTCATAAATGTCATTCTACTGTTTCTCGTTTTCTAGTTTCTCTGTGTGTACAAAGAAAACGATGTCTTTCAACGGGCAAGGTCGCTTCTAATTCTCCTTTATAAAACTCACATTTTTATTCCTTTCTCTCTCTCTCTCCTCTTCTCTCTCTCTCTCTCTCTCTCTTCCTCTCTCTCTCTCTCTCCTCCTCTCTCTTCTCTCTCTCTCTCTCTTCTCTCTCTCTCTCTCTCTCTCTTTATCTCTCTCTCTCTCTCTCTCTCTCTCTCTCTCTCTCTCTCTCTCTCTCTCTCTCTCTCTTCCTCTCTCTCGCTCGCTCTCTCTCTCTCTCTCTCTCTCTCTCTCCTCTCTCTCTCTCTCTCTCCTCTCTCTCTCTCTC